TGTCGGTGTTTCGATTTTATTATCTGTGCTTATAATAAAATTTTCTGTTTGATTCAAATTGAAATTTGGCACCTCATTGACATAATCTGATAGCACATTGGGGTTCTCTGGTGCTGTATTTACGTTAACTATATCATCTATAGTAATATTCAACTCTTCCGAGTTATGATTAATCTGCATGTTTATCTTCGTCTGTTCTGTTATCTTTTTTAAGCTTCCATTAAACAGTTCTGGTTTAAAATGTAAGACTTTTTGGTTCGTATCATCATCTATTGTTTTATTAAATTGTTCAGGTGTTATATTTAAAGGCAAATTTGAATCCGATTGCTCAACTGCGTTTACTGCTATAAGTTGATAATGATTGGGTTGAAAATTGGCGTTCAAATTTATTTTCTTTTGTTCAATATTATCTTCTGTTAGAATATCATGACCAGGATTCAGTGTATTTTTTATATGAATGGGTTTTCCTTTTTCATTGACAATTAGTTCTTTTGGTATTAATTCTTTTACAATATTCAAATAAGAAGAAGGCTCCTTCACATTTCCGGATAATTTTTCAGGGTCAATAACATGTGCAATATCGGCCGCAATAATCTCTTTTAGATCTGTCACTAACTCTGAGTGTTTTGTAAATAAAGCCTCTATAGTTTTTGCCGGAATTGTTTCAAAGCGATCGCCTTCATCAAATGCTAAATCAGGAATCATAATTTGTTTCTCATTATTGGGTAGGTACAATTTAATATCCGTTGAAGATTCATCTCTGTATAGATAGACAACTAATCGCTCCAAATTTTTACCAGCGGGTTTCAGTTTTTGTACAACGGGTATACCAGTTGGCTTTTGTAAAAAGCAAAAACATTGTCTTAAATTATTCGTCAGCATGTTAACTCTTCTAAAATAACCATATTTTGGATGTTCCTTGGTCGGAATAGTTTGTAGCGGCACCGATTTTATCGAAGCATTATTTGGTAGAATTTCCTGAGTTGGAACTTGTCTGTAAACGTAAAAACTATATATATTGCTATACCTTAAAACATTATTAACAAATATCAATATTATGTTTTATTTTAGTTTACCTATTACATAGAGATAGCGATATCCAGCAAAAGAACGGCATCAGCTGAAAAAAGGCAAAGAATGTCAGATTAAATTAATTAGTATGTAAGAAAATCGCTCAAACACGTACCTATTTAAAATTGGCTGCCCTAAAAGTGGGTATCTACCTAGGAAAGTTGTTGGTTGTCCACCAGTTGGTCAAAAAACTGTGCAAGATTTTGATTGATAACCTTGGATCTTTTAATTTTACGTATATACATATAAATAAAATTGAAGTGTAATGACGAAATAACTGGCTTGTGTTAAGCTATGGGAGTTATTTGCATGTTATTAAGACATGATTTTTTTTTGTCCGTCTGTTCGAGAGAGAGAGAGAGAGAGAGAGAGAGAGAGAGAGAGAGAGAGAGAGAGAGCAAGGTCAGGAATGATCAAGGCTATATTTCATGAAAAAACATTTATTATTTAAATGGCTTTTCAGGATTATCTCATAAACTACAAGAGACATTATAAAACAGTTTGAACAAATCTGTATTGGTTTTCAATTTTATACAAAAATGGTTAACATTTTATCTTCTCTCTCTTTACCTCACAAAGTTTTAATACAAAATCGTTTTTTAACAATTTTTTACTTGAACTATACTTTGCAGCAATGCTACGAGTGATAAAACATCTTCAATTTTTATTTTAAGCATTTCAAGTTTCACACATAGTTGACGAGACTGTAGCAAATAACTTAGTTTAAAGTGATTTTTCTATAATTGAACTATTTGCCTAAATACTGCTACCATACTAGTAGATCTGCAGTTTTTTTTGTTTTAGTTCTAAAAGTAGTAGTTTGTAAAAGCTAGAAAAAAATAAATTCCATTTATAGCAATAGCGATCCGCTCCGGCTTCGTACAGGTAATTTCGTATCTGAGAAATTCTGAGATCTCGACATCACCGTCACCTACCCGGGTCCAATTGTGAATCTAAACCATCCAGGGACCCACTCAAACACTCACAAACAATTTCATCAGAATCGGTCGAGCCATTTTCTAGTTTTAGCGAGACTGACAATTTATTTTTATGTATAGTAAAGAAAGGTTAATTGGTGAGATAGGCTATCTGGTGATAGACTTTTAAAAGTCTTTCACGACGTTACCTATGCACGCAATTACGCGAAATGATGCGTCGCTGCGTCTCTTTTGTTCGTTGCAGCAAACTGAAAGACTTTTAAACGCCTATCACCAAATTGCCTATCTCACCAAATAACATTTCCTATAGAGATTTAAAACGAGAGGTATTTTGTCAACAAAGAAATATAACTAACCTTAGTTAATTCCATTTCGGATGTTAAAAGACCATTCTGTTCACTGGCAGAATTCACTACGAATTTACTTTATATAGGCAACAAATTTTAATATGTAATTAGTGTGAAAATGAAAGTGCTTCATTATACCGAAACAAATTACACTATGACGAAAAGCTACGAATTGAATCTCTGGAATAATTAAGATGTTAACGTACATTTGCAAATTAGTTTCCTCACTAATTGTTAAGTGTCGTAAGAGATTATAAGAGCCGTGATAGCTCAATGGCTAAGTGCTCGCTGTAAGTATATGGTACACGAACAACCTGGGTTCGATCCCCGCTGGCAGCAATGAAATTGTTAATTATGGTTTTAAGTTGAGGTAACCTCATGTAGGTTACCTCAACCTAAAACCTACATATCTGACAAATAAAAAAAATAGGAAACACTGTTACGGACCACAGCTGCCCCTACAAAGATCGCCTTGGCTAGGGCCCATAGTAGCCTCATCGACGGGCAGCCGAGGGTTCGGGCCCAAATGGCCTTATGGAAAAATGACCTATCATACTACAAAATAAGGAGAAAGCTAGGAAAATAAATGGTACGTACCTGGATCCGAATCTAAGACCGCCCCAAGGCTCGGTCAGGCCGTAGGTAGAGTAGATGAATGTAAAGTAGTGTTTAGTGGTGTGTATACGTGGGTGACGTGGCCCAGCTGAGGTGACCTGGCAGCACGACGGTTTCCGTGCTGCCCCACAATGCTGCATCACTCCAGCAGGCGTCCACCATGGACAGTTTCTTTCTTCATTGTCACTATTTCAGTCTATTAACTTTATTGTACATTTAACTAACTTCAACTCGCCTAATTCCACATTCATCGTAGAATCGAACACAGTAACGGACAGTAGTTCAAAGTTCAACATTCAATGTCCCGGATTCATTTATCACCAAATTACAAATAGGGATCTAACGCGATCTCTTCACGAGTCACACGGTTCAGCGTTAAACACAACTAAGTTCCTTCGTTCGATACTAAACACCACGCCGCAATAAGAATTCAAAATCAACCTAGCTGACACGTAAACTAGCTACCGAGTCAACACACAAAAGGCTCTTAACGCGACGGTATAATTAAACGATGATTTCCAAACAATCAACCGGGAGACGCCTTTAATCAGTCAAATACAATACAAGCCTCTTGTCACGAACTTAAAGCCTAGACAACCTAAACCGAGTCGGTTTTCACAAAACCACAATTACGTAGCGAAGTAACACGCACTAATTCTAAAAATCTAGACCATAAACCGGTCACGCGAAACTTCGGCAGCGGCCACCGAGACACGCTAATTAACTGCACCGCTGCCAGCGAGCTACTGTCGAGGCCGAACGCCGGGGAGTGGCATACCGCTGTCCCCGCACGTCACTTCACACCATCGGGCGATGCGCCCAGCCAAACGTGATTGGATGGCGTTTCAAATGACCATTTTTGGCCTAAACAAACACTGTATACTGTATTCTACCTCATTCTTTCGCAGACAAAATCATATAGATGTATATGTCTGTCTCTTTTCAGTGTCGCTTTTTTGTTTCATCAAGATTTTCACTTCAAAGACACGTGAAGTCTGTCAACACGCATTGGGGCAGCGTTTTTTTTTGTGCCCAGAAGCAATTGGAAAGGGCTACCCCGATACGCGAGGAAGTGGAGAATGCTTTATGCATACCACGACAGCCGGTCTGTCGTGGTTATGCGGGACTTACTGTGACTACCTAACGGTTACCCTAAGTGATACCCGCTAAACTCCACTTTAAGGAATGGGCAGCAACCTTTGTGGCCTCTCTGCCGAATCGGAAGCGACCCTCTTTTGGGAAAAGAGGGCGCAGTGGGGCACCGCTATAGATTACTGTATATATACTAGGGCAGCGCGGTGGACGTTTACTTACCCTAAAACCTTTTCAGAAACAAGGGGAGGCCTGTGCCTAATAGTAAGACGTAGGTGTATACAGGCTGTAAGTTTACTAATTGCTTACTGACTTTTGTTAGTTTGTTTACCATAGTTGTTACAAAAAGCTGAACAACGATTTTAATCTGCAGTTTACAACAGAAATTCAAGAGAACAGATCAGAATTGATAATTAGTAAAAGGTGTCTCAATAACAGTCGTATAGCATAATTTTATAAATTACTAGCTGGTAATATTTGTGAGAAATAATTGTGGAAATATCGTTTCAAATTTGGAAGAGTTATATTGTTTGATTAGTAATGATAACACACTCATTGAAATTGGATGTTAAATAACTTTCAAATAAATTTGTCGTTATTATACGCGCGACACACAGTAAGTTAATTGTACTATGCCTATAACCTTCGTGCTAGTGAAACTAATAAGTTGACAAAGTTTTAGCTCAATCTAATGAACGGTATGGCAGCGCGTAAAATACGAACAAATAAACATGAATCTTTATATATTAAATACTTTTGTTACTTTATGTATGCTAGTTGTTAAATGTATTATTGAACTTAATTTAGATTTTATCATAATAGTTATTTATGCCAACCTGTTCAGCGACAATTAAAAAAAAAAGTGTTATAACTGTCAATCGCCTGTCTGTCAATGTCACAAATATTTATCAAATATCCTATCAAAAAGTCAAAAAATATGAAAACTTACTTTCGAGTTACTACAGTGTTACTTAAATGTATTGAATATAATTTACATTTAAGTTCATACATTAAAGCAGCAAATGCAATTTCTATAAACAAAATTCGATGTTATTCTACCGGTTTACCAGGATCTGGAGCTGGTAAAGGTGGTGGAGGTGGTGGGACGGTAAGGGAATCTGGTGGTAGCCTTGGAGAATATGCGGCGGCGCAGGAAGAAAGTTACTTCTTTAAAAAGCAGAAGGAGCTACTAAAGAAGATAAGGAAGAAGTTAGAGACTGGGGAATCACTAGTACGGGCACATAAAGAAAAGGATGAAAAATGAATTTCGATTTAATATTGGCTCGACGAAATTATTTGTATATTATTAATTATTATACGATTAATTATTGAATTTAAAATTTATTAGTTTTTATTATGCCTTGATTTTTCTTAACATGAGATTCCTAGACAAATTGGCGATTACATTATGAATCAACTCGCACGCCGTGGTACACCTATCGACTTTAGGAGTGGAATGTATGCAGATTGTTACTATCTAAAAATCAGTACCTATGTAAAAAAATACGACGACATTCAATTTTTGAAGATTATCATTATTGGCAAGGGAAGTTATTGACAGCGATCTCTTGATTGCATGTGTACATACTACCAAGCTACCTTGTAAATGTGGTTGACAGGGAGAGAATGCCCTATAGAATTGAGTCCGCTATATGTACAACTTTGTGCATGAAAGATTAAATAAATAAATAAAGGGCTTAGGTTGGTTTAAGGTATCTATTTGAACGCCGTAAATAAAAATATTTTAAAGGTTTTGGCTTTAAATGAAGTGTATTCGAAATAAAATCAGATATCAAAATGAATGTTTAATAAGTTACAACGAGCAGGAATGGAAAACTTACGCAATTGCCCGAATAGAGATCACACTCTTATAGTCAACCTGATGTCCCATCTCCTGATGTCCCTCTGTCGCCTTTTACGACACACACGGCATGATATAGGGATATTATTACACGCCACTACACGGTACTCTGACCCCGATGCAGGTTTCATTCACATCCCATTCCGATTTGCATAAAACTGAGCACACATAATGTACGTAGTGTGGACAGTGCACGAATTCATTTTCATATTTTTAGCTGATCCTATTGACCCGCTGCAGATACCAAAGCGGGCGTAGCTCTCGTACCCCTGACTCCGATGCAAGTTTTTGGATATATCTTCTGAAACTTGTACGATTTCGATGGAACTTAGTAGAGATAATCTACCTAGTTTGAAGAGTGCATAATTAATGCAGTTATTATTGCTATCTCTAAGTCTCTAGCTATTTATACATCAATCACAAGTCCACTGCTTAACATATTTAGCTATTTTAATACAATAACTATGCTATCTATATAAGGTGACACTTATTTAATTATTCACATATCACTAGTCCATTGCTGAACACAACCTACCATTTCCTATTTGTTTCCCTCTGTCGCCACTTACAACATCAAATATGGGTTACCTAGTGTTTTTTTTATTTATTCTTTATCCTTAATATAAAATAATACAAACGGCGGACTTAATGCCTTGAGGCATTCTCTACCAGTCAACCCATTGTCCGCGATGAACTCCTAAACTACTGAACTGATTTCAATAACATTTTTCACACTGTGTGCAGTTTGGTCCAACTTGAGAGATAGGATAGTTTTTATCCCGATAAGTGAACCTCAATTTTTTTATTAGTAATTTCAGGATTTTTTTTGGGAAAGTAAATGGTCGTTCGGAAAGCGCAGAACAATGTCTGCCTGGTCAGCTAGTACATATATAAATAGTGCATATAAATAACTATGATAAAAAGGCGAAAACGGGGCATTCAACATGGAAAAAAGAACAAGTAATACTTATTCTGGAATTGCGCCTCTGCCGGATTGTAAGCCATTTAAGTTTAGATTTATATTGCGAAATACTTACGAAGCCCGAAAATTAATTTTAAACAGTTATTGAGAAGACGTTCCAGCTTGTTCAGAAGATCCTGGAATAGATCCAGGTAACATATATATATTCAATTATGGGTAATATGAGCGATTGGACAAGCATGATCTTAAACTTTGTGGGAAGAAAATGTTTTAAACGATACTGAGAACGTAAGGTGGACTTTACGCTCACTTCTGAAAAGTGAGTTGTCCAATATAGCGTGATGTCAATATTTAGGTCAAGATAATTTATAAACTTAGTAAATAAAATTATATAACCATTGTAATAAATAAATAGCAAGTCTGCAAGATTAATATTGGTTAGCATCCTTGAGCTAAACACCAGTACCTATAGCTTGGCATTTTTTTTTTATAGGAGAGGGGGCAAACGAGCATGCGGCTCACCTGATGGTAAGTGACTACCGCCGCCCATGAACAACCGCAACACCAGGGGAATTGCAGATGCGTTGCCGGCCTTTTAAAAAGGAGTAGGCTCTTTTCTTGAAGGTCCCTAAGTCGTATCGGTCCGGAAAAATCGCTGGTGGTAAACTATTCCACAAGGAAGTAGTGCGAGGAAGAAAACATCTTCTAAATCGCACAGTGGTGGACCGCCAATCATCCAGATGGTGTGGATGGTATCGGGAGTTCTGCCGCGATGTGCGTTCGTGAAATTTGGCGGCTGGGATTAATCCGAACAATTCCTCAGAGCACTCCCCATGGTAAATGCGAAAGAAAATGCTAAGAGATGCAACATCTCTTCGCAGTGCCAATGAGTCGAGCCGATCGGAAAGGACTCGGTCGTCGACGATTCGAGCCGCTCTGCGCTGGATGCGGTCAAGTGGAAGAAGCTGGCACTGGAGAGCCCCAGCCCAGAGATGGGAACAGTATTCCATGTGAGGCCGAACCTGCGCCTTGTAAAGTTGCAGGCGTTGAGCCGGCATGAAATACTGTCCCGCTCTGCTGAGCACACCAAGCTTTTTAGAGGCCAATTTGGCCTTCTCTTCCAAGTGACCACGAAACTGCACGCTACTCGATATGTCGACGCCGAGGATTCCGATACTGGCTGAGGCAACAAGGGGACCACCTTGAAACTGAGGAGATACGACAAAGGGGTTCTTTTTAGCGGTAAACGCACTTGTGTCTTCTGAGGATTAAACTGGACTAGATTTAGTCGCCCCCAATCCGAGACTTTGTCCAGCAAAGACTCGACTTCAGACACAAGTTTGTTCCGGTACTCGGTGACGTTTTCCCGAGAAATATTGGCACGGCCGGTGTATAGAGCATCACCAGTGCTGTCATCTGCATAGCAATGAATGCTACCAGCTTGCAACATATCATTGATATGCAGAAGAAACAGCGTTGGTGATAGCATGCAGCCTTGTGGAACACCAGCGTTAATAGGCTTGTAGTCGGAGCATGCACCGTCTACAACGACCTTGATTCTCCGATCTGCAAGAAAGCTGGTGATCCAATTGCATAATTTCTCGGGAAGCCCATAGGAAGGGAGCTTCGAAAGAAGCGCTTTGTGCCAAACCCGATCGAAGGCCTTCGCAATGTCCAAACTAACGGCAAATGCCTCCCCCTTGGACTCTACTGCAAACGCCCATCTATGAGTTAAGTAGACCAGAAGATCACCAGCTGATCGACCCCGACGAAAACCGTACTGGCGGTCACTAATCAGCTGGTGATCCTCAAGGTACCGCATGAGGTGGCAGTTTACAACGGATTCCATTATTTTGGAGAACAAGGGGGTGATGGCGATAGGCCTGTAGTTGGACGGATCTGAGCGGTCGCCTTTTTTAGGGATCGGGTGGACAAAAGCTGTCTTCCATGATTTCGGGACTACGCCATTTCAAAGGATTGACTTAAACTTCATAACGAGTAGATCAATCTTTGATAGCTGATAAGTTATCGTATAAGTTTTTAATCCCGTGATGGATAATGGAAGAAAATAAATAAAAAAAATTAAGAAAATATCCTTAGTATGTAGTAGGAGTGAACTGTTTAACGTGTATATAGTATTATATATAGTGATTATTCATACATCGCCACTACACGGTTCAAACTCTAGTTAAAATGATTATATATTCTAGAATTATATACATATAAATACTCTTTAAAACATCTATTCACATCTATCGTTTGTTTTGTGATAATAAACGTTTCATGACACTTTTCTTCTGACATATAGTTTATTCTAGTAAAAACTTCAATCAAATTATTCATTATGAAAGCAACAAAATTATTATTGAGGTGAATTTTTTTAACGAATTTCTATACTTAAATATGCGTGCTACACCTAAATTATGAATTTTGAAGATACAGTGATCAGATATGGTAAAATTTTTCACCCAGACTTGTCCGAAAAATCAATGTAGAGCTCAATCGAATTTCGTACAGTCCTCACCTTACTGCCTCCACTTTATCAAAGGACAATTTGTACCTAATGTAATTCATACCAGAATGCAAGTAAAACAAAGACTCGATATAGAAGAACCATTGAGGGAGAAAACTAGAGAGTCAATAAAAATGCCAGGTTTCATTTATCCTGACCATAAGTATGAGAAAGGTTATTCCACTCAGCAAACCAAGATTCAACTTGAGGAATTTAAAAAGAAGAATAACGACCCGAAAATGGAGAGCGCGGAGAAGAAGGAATAGAATCGTGATAGGAATAACAAGTTTGATTTATGCTTGTCTACTCTTTTTGATCCCCTCTGAAAAATAGAATTTTAAAATTTCCCAAAATTATCGCTTTTCTGTGTGTGGTATCTATTTATGGTTGAATGAATACAGGAAAAAGCAGCAAAACTGGCTTTTATTTAGAATAATATAATATAATTATTGTTTGATTCTTCTTCTCCTCTTCATTAACCCGCAAAAGTTCATTGCTGGACATGGGTCTCTCCCATTGATGGAAGGATTTCTCTTAACACCTTTAACGCCACTCCCGTTGCCAGTCTTATTTTACGTATATTATTATTATTATTATTTAATATTATATACGATAAGGATGACAAATTAAGTGGTTTGGGTGGTCTATAGACATCTACATCTATCCTCGATTATCTAAAATGCAGTAAAAAGGGTCTACGGTCCTATACACTCACTAAACGCTACACAGCAGCGTTAAGCTGCTATTTTACGCTAGTATTCTGTGAGAGCGTAGACCCTCCCCGGTTGAATCGACCCATTCGTGCTACAACTATACTACTAATATAGCTGCAGCATGGCTATACTACATAACGAGATTCAAAACAAGTGAGATTGTAGTTAAACACCGTGTCATAGTTTTTCCTTACGGTCTAAGGAAAATCTTTCCTTTTAACGTTCTCTGCAATTTTCAACATTTTATAATAAATCT